AACAGACACGCACCAACAGCAACAGACACCCACCTACAGCAACAGACACCCACCTACAGCAACAGACGCCCACCTACAGCAACAGACACCCACCTACAGCAACAGACACCCACCTACACCAACAGACACCCACCTACAGCAACAGACACCCACCTACAGCCACAGACACCCACCTACAGCAACAGACACCCACCTACAGCAACAGACACGCACCAACAGCAACAGACACCCACCTACAGCAACAGACACCCACCTACAGCAACAGACACCCACCTACAGCAACAGACGCCCACCTACAGCAACAGACACCCACCTACAGCAACAGACACCCACCTACACCAACAGACACCCACCTACAGCAACAGACACCCACCTACAGCCACAGACACCCACCTACAGCAACACACACCCACCTACACCAACAGACACCCACCGACAGCAACAGACACCCACCTACAGCAATAGACACCCAACTACAGCAACAGACACCTACCTACAGCAACAGACACCCACCTAAAGCAACAGACACCCACCTACAGCAACAGACACCCACCTACAGCCATAGACACCCACCTACAACAACAGACACCTACCTACAGCAACAGACACCCACCTACACCAACAGACACCCACCGACAGCAACAGACACCCACCTACAGCAACAGACACCCACCTACAGCAACAGACACCCACCTACAGCCACAGACACCCACCTACAGCAACAAACAACAACAGACACCCACCTATACCAACAGACACCCACCTACAGCAACAGACACGCACCAACAGCAACAGACACCCACCTACAGCAACAGACACCCACCTACAGCAACAGACGCCCACCTACAGCAACAGACACCCACCTACAGCAACAGACACCCACCTACACCAACAGACACCCACCTACAGCAACAGACACCCACCTACAGCCACAGACACCCACCTACAGCAACAGACACCCACCTACAGCAACAGACACGCACCAACAGCAACAGACACCCACCTACAGCAACAGACACCCACCTACAGCAACAGACACCCACCTACAGCAACAGACGCCCACCTACAGCAACAGACACCCACCTACAGCAACAGACACCCACCTACACCAACAGACACCCACCTACAGCAACAGACACCCACCTACAGCCACAGACACCCACCTACAGCAACAAACACCCACCTACACCAACAGACACCCACCGACAGCAACAGACACCCACCTACAGCAATAGACACCCAACTACAGCAACAGACACCTACCTACAGCAACAGACACCCACCTAAAGCAACAGACACCCACCTACAGCAACAGACACCCACCTACAGCCATAGACACCCACCTACAACAACAGACACCTACCTACAGCAACAGACACCCACCTACACCAACAGACACCCACCTACACCAACAGACACCCACCGACAGCAACAGACACCCACCTACAGCAACAGACACCCACCTACAGCAACAGACACCCACCTACAGCCACAGACACCCACCTACAGCAACAAACAACAACAGACACCCACCTATACCAACAGACACCCACCTACAGCAACAGACACCCACCTACAGCAACAGACACCCACCTACAGCCACAGACACTTACCGACAGCAACAGACGCCCACCTACAGCATCAGACACCCACCTACAGCCACAGACACCCACCTACAGCAACAGACACCCACCTACAGCAACAGGCGCCCACCTACAACAACAGACACCCACCTACAACCACAGACACCCACCTACAGCCATAGACACCCACCTACAACAACAGACACCTACCTACAGCAACAGACACCCACCTACAGAAACAGACACCCACTGACAGCAACAGACACCCACCTACAGCAACAGACACCCACCGACAGCAACAGACACCCACCTACAGCAACAGACACCCACAGACACCCACCTACAGCAACAGACACCCACCTACAGCAACAGACACCCACCTACAGCCACAGACACCCACCTACAGCAACAAACAACAACAGACACCCACCTATACCAACAGACACCCACCTACAGCAACAGACACCCACCTACAGCAACAGACACCCACCTACAGCCACAGACACTTACACAGACACCCACCTACAGCAACAGACACCCACCTACAGCAACAGGCGCCCACCTACAACAACAGACACCCACCTACAACCACAGACACCCACCTACAGCCATAGACACCCACCTACAACAACAGACACCTACCTACAGCAACAGACACCCACCTACAGAAACAGACACCCACTGACAGCAACAGACACCCACCTACAGCAACAGACACCCACCGACAGCAACAGACACCCACCTACAGCAACAGACACCCACCTACAGCAACAGACACCCACCTACAGCAACAGACACCCACCTACAGCAACAGACACCCACCTACAGCAACAGACACCCACCTACAGCAACAGACACCCACCTACAGCAACAAACACCCACCTACAGCAACAGACACCCACCTACAGCCACAGACACCCACCTACAGCCACAGACACCCACCTACACCAACAGACACCCACCTACAGCAACAGACACTCACCTACAGCAACAGACACCCACCTACAGCCACAGACACCCACCTACAGCAACAAACAACAACAGACACCCACCTACAGCAACAAACACCCACCTACAGCAACAGACACCCACCTACAGCCACAGACACTTACCGACAGCAACAGACACCCACCTACAGCAACAGACACCCACCTACAGCAGCAGACACCCACCTACACCAACAGACACCCACCTACAGCAACAGACACCCACCTACAGCAACAGACACCCACCTACACCAACAGACACCCACCTATAGTAACAGACACCCACCTACACCAACAGACACACACCTTCTGCCATAGACACCCACCTACAGCAACAGACACCCACCTATAGCAACAGACACACACCTTCTGCCATAGACACCCACCTACAGCAACAGACACCCACCTACAGCAACAGACACCCACCTACAGCAACAGACACCCACCTACAGTAACAGACACCCACCTACACCAACCGACACCCACCTACAGCCACAGACACCCACCTGCAACAACAGACACCCACCTACAGCCACAGACACCCACCTACAGCAACAGACACCCACCTACAGCAACAGACACCCACCTACAGCAACAGACACGCACCTACAGCAACAGACACCCACCTACAGCAACAGACACCCACCTACAGCAACAGACACGCACCTACAGCAACAGACACCCACCTACAGCAACAGACACCCACCTACACCATCAGACACACACCTTCTGCCATAGACACCCACCTACAGCAACAGACACCCACCTACAGCAACAAACACCCACCTACAGCAACAGACACCCACCTACAGCCACAGACACTTACCGACAGCAACAGACACCCACCTACAGCCATAGACTCCCGCCTACAGCAACAGACACCCACCTACAGCCATAGACTCCCACCTACACCAACAGACACCCACCTACAGCAACAGAAACCCACCTACACCAACAGACACCCACCTACAGCAACATACATCCACCTACACCAACAGACACACACCTTCTGCCATAGACACCCACCTACAGCAACAGACACCCACCTACAGCCACAGACACCCACCTACAGCAACAGACACCCACCTACAGCAACAGACACCCACCTACAGCAACAGACACCCACCTACAGCAACAGACACACACCTTCTGCCATAGACACCCACCTACAGCAACAGACACCCACCTACAGCAACAGACACCCACCTACAGTAACAGACACCCACCTACACCAACCGACACCCACCTACAGCAATAGACACCCACCTACAGCCATAGACACCCACGTACAGCAACAGACACCCACCTACAGCCATAGACACCCACCTACAGCAACAGACACCCACCTACAGCAACAGACACCCACCTACAGTAACAGACACCCACCTACACCAACAGACACACACCTTCTGCCATAGGCACCCACCTACAGCAACAGACACCCACCTACAGCAACAGACACACACCTTCTGCCATAGACACCCACCTACAGCAACAGACACCCACCTACAGCAACAGACACCCACCTACAGCAACAGACACCCACCTACAGTAACAGACACCCACCTACACCAACCGACACCCACCTACAGCCACAGACACCCACCTGCAACAACAGACACCCACCTACAGCCACAGACACCCACCTACAGCAATAGACACCCACCTACAGCAACAGACACCCACCTACAGCAACAGACACGCACCTACAGCAACAGACACCCACCTACAGCAACAGACACCCACCTACAGCAACAGACACCCACCTACAGCAACAGACACGCACCTACAGCAACAGACACCCACCTACAGCAACAGACACCCACCTACACCAACAGACACACACCTTCTGCCATAGACACCCACCTACAGCAACAGACACCCACCTACAGCCACAGACACCCACCTGCAACAACAGACACCCACCTACAACAACAGACACCCACCTACAACAACAGACACCCACCTACAGCAACAGACACCCACCTACAGCCATAGACACCCACCTACAACAACAGACACCCACCTACAGCCAGACACCCACCTACAGCAACAGACACCCACCTACAACAACAGACACCCACCTACAACAACAGACACCTACCTACAGCAACAGACACCCACCTACAGCCATAGACACCCACCTACAACAACAGACACCCACCTACAGCCACAGACACCCACCTACAACAACAGACACCCACCTACAGCAACAGACACCCACCTACAGCCATAGACACCCACCTACAACAACAGACACCCACCTACAGCCACAGACACCTACCTACAACAACAGACACCCACCTACAGCAACAGACACCCACCTACAGCCATAGACACCCACCTACAACAACAGACACCCACCTACAGCCACAGACACCCACCTACAGCCACAGACACCCACTGATGGTGACTGTTCCTTCACCTACAGGAGCGCCGCCGCCGCCGACCCACGCCATCAACCGGGGTATAGGCACAGAGGGCCTCGGGTGCATCCTGGCGGGGCTCTGGGGCACCGGTAACGGCACCACCTCCTACTCTGAGAACATTGGCGCCATCGGCGTCACCAAGGTTAGTGTTTCCTCCCCTCTTATTGATCCTTCCGGCTCGTCCTAGCTAAGACAGCCCTTTCGGCTCGTCCTAGCTAAGACAGCCCTTTCGGCTCGTCCTAGCTAATACACAACCCTTCCGGCTCGTCCTAGCTAACACACAACCCTTCCTGCTCGTCCTAGCTAACACACAACCCTTCCGGCTTGTCCTAGCTAACACACAACCCTTCCGGCTCGTCCTAGCTAACACACAACCCTTCAGGCTCGTCCTAGCTAACACACAACCCTTCCGGCTCGGCCTAGCTAACACACAACCCTTCCGGCTCGTCCTAGCTAACACACAACCCTTCCGGCTCGTCCTAACTAACACACAACCCTTCCGGCTCGTCCTAACTAACACACAACCCTTCCGGCTCGTCCTAGCTAACACACAACCCTTCCGGCTCGTCCTAGCTAACACACAGCCCTTCCGGCTCGTCCTAGCTAAGACAGCCCTTTCGGCTCGTCCTACCTAACACACAACCCTTCCGGCTCGTCCCAGCTAACACACAACCCTTCCTGCTCGTCCTAGCTAACACAACCCTTCAGGCTCGTCCTAGCTAACACACAACCCTTCCGGCTCGTTCTAGCTAACACATAGTACTTCCGGCTCGTCCTAACTAACACACAACCCTTCCGGCTCGTCCTAGCTAACACACAACTCTTCCAGCTCGTCCTAGCTAACACACAACCCTTCAGGCGCGTCCTAGCTAACACACAGCCCTTCCGGCTCGTCCTAGCTAAGACAGCCCTTCCGGCTCGTCCTAACTAACACACAACCCTTCCAGCTCGTCCTAGCTAACACACAACTCTTCCGGCTCGTCCTAGCTAACACACAACCCTTCAGGCGCGTCCTAGCTAACACACAGCCCTTCCGGCCCGTCCTAGCTAACACACAGCCCGGGATCACTGGAGTTCTACTTTTATATTGATATTTGACCAGAATTAGATGAATAACAGCTGTGAGAGGCAGTGAATGTTGTGACGCGTGTGTACAGTGTCAACCCACAATAACACCAAGGCTTCTAACATATAAATATATCTATCTGTTTCTAGTGTATTACCTGAATTCACCTGAGGGCTACTAACACTAGTGGCCTCGACCAGGACAGGAAGCCGGCGGCTTGTCGAAGGTCCCCCCCTCATTTACCTTGATAAGCTCTTGCTACCTTTTGGAATTGTGCGTGTTGGTCACACAGATGACAACGGTTACTCTTCCTAGAGGCATCTATTTGCCGTACACGGTCTAGAGCTGGGAACGTGGGAGTTAGTGTCTAGAGCTGGGAACGTGGGAGTTAGTGTCTAGAGCTGGGAACGTGGGAGTTAGTGTCTAGAGCTGGGAACGTGGGAGTTAGTGTCTAGAGCTGTGAACGTGGAAGTTAGTGTCTAGAGCTGGGAACGTGGGAGTTAGTGTCTAGAGCTGGGAACGTGGGAGTTAGTGTCTAGAGCTGTGAACGTGGAAGTTAGTGTCTAGAGCTGGGAACGTGGGAGTTAGTGTCTAGAGCTGGGAACGTGGGAGCTAGTGTCTAGAGCTAGGAACGTGGGAGCTAGTGTCTAGAGCTGGGAACGTGGGAGCTAGTGTCTAGAGCTGGGAACGTGGGAGCTAGTGTCTAGAAGTGTAGGTAGGTACTACCAGCGTGGTACAGCAGGTTGGTACAAGCGTGCTTGTGGTACAGCAGGTTGGTACAAGCGTGCTTGTGGTACAGCAGGTTGGTACAAGCGTGCTTGTGGTACAGCAGGTTGGTACAAGCGTGCTTGTGGTACAGCAGGTTGGTACAAGCGTGCTTGTGGTACAGCAGGTTGGTACAAGCGTGCTTGTGGTACAGCAGGTTGGTACAAGCGTGCTTGTGGTACTGCAGGTTGGTACAAGCGTGCTTGTGGTACTGCAGGTTGGTACAAGCGTGCTTGTGGTACAGCAGGTTGGTACAAGGGTGCTTGTGGTACTGCAGGTTGGTACAAGGGTGCTTGTGGTACAGCAGGTTGGTACAAGCGTGCTTGTGGTACAGCAGGTTGGTACAAGGGTGCTTGTGGTACAGCAGGTTGGTACAAGGGTGCTTGTGGTACTGCAGGTTGGTACAAGGGTGCTTGTGGTACAGCAGGTTGGTACAAGCGTGCTTGTGGTACAGCAGGTTGGTACAAGGGTGCTTGTGGTACAGCAGGTTGGTACAAGGGTGCTTGTGGTACTGCAGGTTGGTACAAGCGTGCTTGTGGTACTGCAGGTTGGTACAAGGGTGCTTGTGGTACTGCAGGTTGGTACAAGGGTGCTTGTGGTACAGCAGGTTGGTACAAGCGTGCTTGTGGTACTGCAGGTTGGTACAAGCGTGCTTGTGGTACAGCAGGTTGGTACAAGCGTGCTTGTGGTACTGCAGGTTGGTACAAGCGTGCTTGTGGTACAGCAGGTTGGTACAAGGGTGCTTGTGGTACTGCAGGTTGGTACAAGCGTGCTTGTGGTACTGCAGGTTGGTACAAGCGTGCTTGTGGTACAGCAGGTTGGTACAAGCGTGCTTGTGGTACAGCAGGTTGGTACAAGGGTGCTTGTGGTACTGCAGGTTGGTACAAGGGTGCTTGTGGTACTGCAGGTTGGTACAAGCGTGCTTGTGGTACAGCAGGTTGGTACAAGCGTGCTTGTGGTACAGCAGGTGGTGAGAGGAAAGCGGTAAGAAGTGTCTGGTGTTGCAGGTGGGGAGCCGCCGTGTGGTCCAGTTCGGGGCGGTGATAATGCTCTTGCTGGGGATGCTGGGCAAGTTTGGGGCGCTGTTCGTGACCATCCCGGAGCCTGTGATCGGCGGAGTGTTCTGCGTCATGTTCTCCATGATCACGGCCGTCGGCCTCTCCACCCTCCAGTACGTCGACCTCAACTCCTCCAGGAACCTCTTTGTTCTCGGCTTCTCCATTTTCTTCGGCCTGGCGCTCCCCAAGGTACGAAGAAAACGTGTATGTGATATATTCATTATATGCATCATTCCTGCAGTCTTATATACCATACTGTATATACTGTATTATTATTATGTACACGTATATAGTGTTAGCAATATGTTTACAACAATTATTATAACGAGAATATTTATATTACAGAGGTATTTATATATTTTATGTTCATAGAGTTTTACAATCAACCTTGCTTCCTTACATGCCTGACTGAACCACGGATTACCCTGTTGCGTCTCTGTTATTTCCTTCTGGGCCGCCGGGATAAACCTGTTGTCTGCCTCCTGACACTTCCGGGTGACGCAGTCCATCAGGCCTTGTTCACACTTTCCGCCTAGCTCTGTCTCACATGGTATTCCTATTTGAAATTATCTAATATCATCATAGTTTCTCCTTTGGTATTCCAGTGTTTTTCCTTTCGGTCCTTTCCTTGGGTGGGTTAATCCTATTTCCAGCAGACATTCAAATGTTAGGACACTGTGGTCACTCATGCCTATGAGGAGGGGGGGGGGCGTATGATGTAACTTCCCTTATGTCTGACTCGTTCATGATAAATACAAGATGAAGTCTGGCTGGTTCATCAGTCACTCTCGTCTAGTGGCCCCTTGACATGTTGTCAAGGAAAGTGTGTGTGTGTGTGTGTGTGTGTGTGTGTGTGTGTGTGTGTGTGTGTGTGTGTGTGTGTGTGTGTGTGTGTGTGTGTGTGTGTGTGTTTTTAATCTTACCAAGTTGTGCTAGTATTGTGTTAATCCTAGTTATTGATAGATACAAATGTGAGCAGTTTTTATTATTAGTATTAGTATTATTATTATTTACCACAGACGTGGCCAGATATTTACAATGCTAACTTTAAAAGCTTTTACAAATGGTAATGTAATGTACCTGTGAGCAGTGGATGGAGAGCAACCCTGGCGTGGTGCAGACGGGGAGCCTCATACTGGACCAGATCCTGACGGTGCTCCTCCAGACCTCCATGTTCGTGGGCGGCCTCCTGGGCCTCCTCCTTGATAACACTATTCCAGGTAAGTCCCTGGTAGGCTGATGGGGGGTGTGCACCTGGTACCGTATTGTTAGTGCATCTATTTAGTGACCTGGGGACTGTTTGGTGACCTGAGGGCTCTGTGTGCTGACCTGGGGGCTCTGTGTGCTGACATGGGGACTCTGTGTGCTGACCTGGGGGCTCTGTGTGCTGACATGGGGACTGTTTGGTGAGCTGGGGGCTCTGTGTGCTGACCTGGGGGCTCTGTGTGCTGACCTGGGGACTGTTTGGTGACCTGGGGGCTCTGTGTGCTGACCTGGGGACTCTGTGTGCTGACCTGGGGACTGTTTGGTGACCTGGGGGCTCTGTGTGCTGACATGGGGGCTCTGTGTGCTGACCTGGGGGCTCTGTGTGCTGACCTGGGGGCTCTGTGTGCTGATATGGGGACTCTGTGTGCTGACCTGGGGGCTCTGTGTGCTGACATGGGGACTGTTTGGTGAGCTGGGGGCTCTGTGTGCTGACCTGGGGGCTCTGTGTGCTGACCTGGGGACTGTTTGGTGACCTGGGGGCTCTGTGTGCTGACCTGGGGGCTCTGTGTGCTGACCTGGGGACTGTTTGGTGACCTGGGGGCTCTGTGTGCTGACCTGGGGCTCTGTGTGCTGACCTGGGGCTCTGTGTGCTGACCTGGGGACTCTGTGTGCTGACCTGGGGACTGTTTGGTGACCTGGGGGCTCTGTGTGCTGACCTGGGGGCTCTGTGTGCTGACCTGGGGACTGTTTGGTGACCTGGGGGCTCTGTGTGCTGACATGGGGGCTCTGTGTGCTGACCTGGGGGCTCTGTGTGCTGACCTGGGGGCTCTGTGTGCTGACCTGGGGTCTCTGTGTGCTGACCTGGGGGCTCTGTGTGCTGACCTGGGGACTGTTTGGTGAGCTGGGGGCTCTGTGTGCTGACCTGGGGGCTCTGTGTGCTGACCTGGGGACTGTTTGGTGACCTGGGGGCTCTGTGTGCTGACCTGGGGGCTCTGTGTGCTGACATGGGGGCTCTGTGTGCTGACCTGGGGGCTCTGTGTGCTGACCTGGGGGCCCTGTGTGCTGACCTGGGGGCTCTGTGTGCTGACCTGGGGACTGTTTGGTGAGCTGGGGGCTCTGTGTGCTGACATGGGGGCTCTGTGTGCTGACCTGGGGGCTCTGTGTGCTGACCTGGGGGCTCTGTGTGCTGACATGGGGACTCTGTGTGCTGACATGGGGACTCTGTGTGCTGACATGGGGACTGTTTGGTGAGCTGGGGGCTCTGTGTGCTGACCTGGGGGCTCTGTGTGCTGACATGGGGACTCTGTGTGCTGACATGGGGACTCTGTGTGCTGACATGGGGACTGTTTGGTGACCTGAGGGCTCTGTGTGCTGACATGGGGACTCTGTGTGCTGACCTGGGGGCTCTGTGTGCTGACATGGGGACTCTGTGTGCTGACCTGGGGACTCTGTGTGCTGACCTGGGGACTGTTTGGTGAGCTGGGGGCTCTGTGTGCTGACCTGGGGACTGTTTGGTGACCTGGGGGCTCTGTATGTTGACCTGGAGACTGTTTGGTGACCTGGGGGCTCTGTGTGCTGACCTGGGGACTCTGTGTGCTGACCTGGGGGCTGTTTGGTGAGCTGGGGGCTCTGTGTGCTGACCTGGGGGCTGTTTGGTGAGCTGGGGGCTCTGTGTGCTGACCTGGAGACTGTTTGGTGACCTGGGGGCTCTGTGTGCTGACCTGGGGACTCTGTGTGCTGACCTGGGGGCTGTTTGGTGAGCTGGGGGCTCTGTGTGCTGACCTGGGGACTCTGTGTGCTGACCTGGGGGCTGTTTGGTGAGCTGGGGGCTCTGTGTGCTGACCTGGGGGCTGTTTGGTGAGCTGGGGGCTCTGTGTGCTGACCTGGGGACTGTTTGGTGACCTGGGGGCTCTGTGTGCTGACCTGGGGACTGTTTGGTGACCTGGGGGCTCTGTGTGCTGACCTGGGGGCTGTTTGGTGAGCTGGGGGCTCTGTGTGCTGACCTGGGGACTGTTTGGTGAGCTGGGGGCTCTGTGTGCTGACCTGGGGACTGTTTGGTGACCTGGGGGCTCTGTGTGCTGACATGGGGGCTCTGTGTGCTGACATGGGGACTCTGTGTGCTGACCTGGGGGCTCTGTGTGCTGACATGGGGACTGTTTGGTGACCTGGGGGCTCTGTGTGCTGACCTGGGGGCTCTGTGTGCTGACCTGGGGACTGTTTGGTGACCTGGGGGCTCTGTGTGCTGACCTGGGGCTCTGTGTGCTGACCTGGGGGCTCTGTGTGCTGACCTGGGGACTCTGTGTGCTGACCTGGGGACTGTTTGGTGACCTGGGGGCTCTGTGTGCTGACATGGGGGCTCTGTGTGCTGACCTGGGGGCTCTGTGTGCTGACCTGGGGGCTCTGTGTGCTGACATTGGGACTCTGTGTGCTGACCTGGGGGCTCTGTGTGCTGACATGGGGACTGTTTGGTGAGCTGGGGGCTCTGTGTGCTGACCTGGGGGCTCTGTGTGCTGACCTGGGGACTGTTTGGTGACCTGGGGGCTCTGTGTGCTGACCTGGGGGCTCTGTGTGCTGACCTGGGGACTGTTTGGTGACCTGGGGGCTCTGTGTGCTGACCTGGGGCTCTGTGTGCTGACCTGGGGGCTCTGTGTGCTGACCTGGGGACTCTGTGTGCTGACCTGGGGACTGTTTGGTGACCTGGGGGCTCTGTGTGCTGACATGGGGGCTCTGTGTGCTGACCTGGGGGCTCTGTGTGCTGACCTGGGGGCTCTGTGTGCTGACATGGGGACTCTGTGTGCTGACCTGGGGGCTCTGTGTGCTGACATGGGGACTGTTTGGTGAGCTGGGGGCTCTGTGTGCTGACCTGGGGGCTCTGTGTGCTGACCTGGGGACTGTTTGTTGACCTGGGGGCTCTGTGTGCTGACCTGGGGGCTCTGTGTGCTGACATGGGGGCTCTGTGTGCTGACCTGGGGGCTCTGTGTGCTGACCTGGGGGCCCTGTGTGCTGACCTGGGGGCTCTGTGTGCTGACCTGGGGACTGTTTGGTGAGCTGGGGGCTCTGTGTGCTGACATGGGGGCTCTGTGTGCTGACCTGGGGGCTCTGTGTGCTGACCTGGGGGCTCTGTGTGCTGACATGGGGACTCTGTGTGCTGACATGGGGACTCTGTGTGCTGACATGGGGACTGTTTGGTGAGCTGGGGGCTCTGTGTGCTGACCTGGGGGCTCTGTGTGCTGACATGGGGACTCTGTGTGCTGACATGGGGACTCTGTGTGCTGACATGGGGACTGTTTGGTGAGCTGGGGGCTCTGTGTGCTGACCTGGGGGCTCTGTGTGCTGACATGGGGACTCTGTGTGCTGACATGGGGACTCTGTGTGCTGACATGGGGACTGTTTGGTGACCTGAGGGCTCTGTGTGCTGACATGGGGACTCTGTGTGCTGACCTGGGGCTCTGTGTGCTGACATGGGGACTCTGTGTGCTGACCTGGGGACTCTGTGTGCTGACATGGGGACTGTTTGGTGAGCTGGGGGCTCTGTGTGCTGACCTGGGGACTGTTTGGTGACCTTGGGGCTCTGTGTGCTGACATGGGGGCTCTGTGTGCTGACCTGGGGGCTCTGTGTGCTGACCTGGGGGCCCTGTGTGCTGACCTGGGGGCTCTGTGTGCTGACCTGGGGACTGTTTGGTGAGCTGGGGGCTCTGTGTGCTGACCTGGGGACTGTTTGGTGACCTGGGGGCTCTGTATGTTGACCTGGGGACTGTTTGGTGACCTGGGGGCTCTGTGTGCTGACCTGGGGACTCTGTGTGCTGACCTGGGGGCTGTTTGGTGAGCTGGGGGCTCTGTGTGCTGACCTGGGGACTCTGTGTGCTGACCTGGGGGCTGTTTGGTGAGCTGGGGGCTCTGTGTGCTGACCTGGGGGCTGTTTGTGAGCTGGGGGCTCTGTGTGCTGACCTGGGGACTGTTTGGCGAGCTGGGGGCTCTGTGTGCTGACCTGGGGACTGTTTGGTGACCTGGGGGCTCTGTGTGCTGACCTGGGGACTGTTTGGTGAGCTGGGGGCTGTGTGCTGACCTGGGGGCTGTTTGGTGAGCTGGGGGCTCTGTATGTTGACCTGGGGACTGTTTGGTGAGCTGGGGGCTCTGTGTGCTGACCTGGGGACTGTTTGGTGACCTGGGGGCTCTGTGTGCTGACCTGGGGACTGTTTGGTGAGCTGGGGACTGTGTGCTGACCTGGGGGCTGTTTGGTGACCTGAGGGCTCTGTGTGCTGACCTGGGAACTCTGTGTGCTGACCTGGGGGCTGTTTGGTGAGCTGGGGGCTCTGTGTGCTGACCTGGGGGCTGTTTGGTGACCTGGGGGCTCTGTGTGCTGACCTGGGGGCTGTTTGGTGACCTGGGGGCTCTGTGTGCTGACCTGGAGACTGTTTGGTGACCTGGGGGCTCTGTGTGCTGACCTGGGGACTCTGTGTGCTGACCTGGGGGCTGTTTGGTGAGCTGGGGGCTCTGTGTGCTGACCTGGGGGCTGTTTGGTGAGCTGGGGGCTCTGTGTGCTGACCTGGAGACTGTTTGGTGACCTGGGGGCTCTGTGTGCTGACCTGGGGACTCTGTGTGCTGACCTGGGGGCTGTTTGGTGAGCTGGGGGCTCTGTGTGCTGACCTGGGGACTCTGTGTGCTGACCTGGGGGCTGTTTGGTGAGCTGGGGGCTCTGTGTGCTGACCTGGGGGCTGTTTGGTGAGCTGGGGGCTCTGTGTGCTGACCTGGGGACTGTTTGGTGACCTGGGGGCTCTGTGTGCTGACCTGGGGACTGTTTGGTGACCTGGGGGCTCTGTGTGCTGACCTGGGGGCTGTTTGGTGAGCTGGGGGCTCTGTGTGCTGACCTGGGGACTGTTTGGTGAGCTGGGGGCTCTGTGTGCTGACCTGGGGACTGTTTGGTGACCTGGGGGCTCTGTGTGCTGACATGGGGGCTCTGTGTGCTGACATGGGGACTCTGTGTGCTGACCTGGGGGCTCTGTGTGCTGACATGGGGACTGTTTGGTGACCTGGGGGCTCTGTGTGCTGACCTGGGGGCTCTGTGTGCTGACCTGGGGACTGTTTGGTGACCTGGGGGCTCTGTGTGCTGACCTGGGGCGCTGTGTGCTGACCTGGGGGCTCTGTGTGCTGACCTGGGGACTGTGTGTGCTGACCTGGGGACTGTTTGGTGACCTGGGGGCTCTGTGTGCTGACATGGGGGCTCTGTGTACTGACCTGGGGGCTCTGTGTGCTGACCTGGGGGCTCTGTGTGCTGACATTGGGACTCTGTGTGCTGACCTGGGGGCTCTGTGTGCTGACATGGGGACTGTTTGGTGAGCTGGGGGCTCTGTGTGCTGACCTGGGGCTCTGTGTGCTGACCTGGGGACTGTTTGGTGACCTGGGGGCTCTGTGTGCTGACCTGGGGGCTCTGTGTGCTGACCTGGGGACTGTTTGGTGACCTGGGGGCTCTGTGTGCTGACCTGGGGCTCTGTGTGCTGACCTGGGGGCTCTGTGTGCTGACCTGGGGACTCTGTGTGCTGACCTGGGGACTGTTTGGTGACCTGGGGGCTCTGTGTGCTGACCTGGGGGCTCTGTGTGCTGACCTGGGGGCTCTGTGTGCTGACCTGGGGGCTCTGTGTGCTGACATGGGGACTCTGTGTGCTGACCTGGGGGCTCTGTGTGCTGACATGGGGACTGTTTGGTGAGCTGGGGGCTCTGTGTGCTGACCTGGGGGCTCTGTGTGCTGACCTGGGGACTGTTTGTTGACCTGGGGGCTCTGTGTGCTGACCTGGGGGCTCTGTGTGCTGACATGGGGGCTCTGTGTGCTGACCTGGGGGCTCTGTGTGCTGACCTGGGGGCACTGTGTGCTGACCTGGGGGCTCTGTGTGCTGACCTGGGGACTGTTTGGTGAGCTGGGGGCTCTGTGTGCTGACATGGGGGCTCTGTGTGCTGACCTGGGGGACTCTGTGTGCTGACATGGGGACTCTGTGTGCTGACATGGGGACTCTGTGTGCTGACATGGGGACTCTGTGTGCTGACATGGGGACTGTTTGGTGAGCTGGGGGCTCTGTGTGCTGACCTGGGGGCTCTGTGTGCTGACATGGGGACTCTGTGTGCTGACATGGGGACTCTGTGTGCTGACATGGGGACTGTTTGGTGAGCTGGGGGCTCTGTGTGCTGACCTGGGGGCTCTGTGTGCTGACATGGGGACTCTGTGTGCTGACATGGGGACTCTGTGTGCTGACATGGGGACTGTTTGGTGACCTGAGGGCTCTGTGTGCTGACATGGGGACTCTGTGTGCTGACCTGGGGCTCTGTGTGCTGACATGGGGACTCTGTGTGCTGACCTGGGGACTCTGTGTGCTGACATGGGGACTGTTTGGTGAGCTGGGGGCTCTGTGTGCTGACCTGGGGACTGTTTGGTGACCTTGGGGCTCTGTGTGCTGACATGGGGGCTCTGTGTGCTGACCTGGGGGCTCTGTGTGCTGACCTGGGGGCCCTGTGTGCTGACCTGGGGGCTCTGTGTGCTGACCTGGGGACTGTTTGGTGAGCTGGGGGCTCTGTGTGCTGACCTGGGGACTGTTTGGTGACCTGGGGGCTCTGTATGTTGACCTGGGGACTGTTTGGTGACCTGGGGGCTCTGTGTGCTGACCTGGGGACTCTGTGTGCTGACCTGGGGGCTGTTTGGTGAGCTGGGGGCTCTGTGTGCTGACCTGGGGACTCTGTGTGCTGACCTGGGGGCTGTTTGGTGAGCTGGGGGCTCTGTGTGCTGACCTGGGGGCTGTTTGTGAGCTGGGGGCTCTGTGTGCTGACCTGGGGACTGTTTGGCGAGCTGGGGGCTCTGTGTGCTGACCTGGGGACTGTTTGGTGACCTGGGGGCTCTGTGTGCTGACCTGGGGACTGTTTGGTGAGCTGGGGGCTGTGTGCTGACCTGGGGGCTGTTTGGTGAGCTGGGGGCTCTGTATGTTGACCTGGGGACTGTTTGGTGAGCTGGGGGCTCTGTGTGCTGACCTGGGGACTGTTTGGTGACCTGGGGGCTCTGTGTGCTGACCTGGGGACTGTTTGGTGAGCTGGGGACTGTGTGCTGACCTGGGGGCTGTTTGGTGACCTGAGGGCTCTGTGTGCTGACCTGGGGACTCTGTGTGCTGACCGGGGGGCTGTTTGGTGAGCTGGGGGCTCTGTGTGCTGACCTGGGGGCTGTTTGGTGACCTGGGGGCTCTGTGTGCTGACCTGGGGGCTGTTTGGTGACCTGGGGGCTCTGTGTGCTGACCTGGGGACTCTGTGTGCTGACCTGGGGGCTGTTTGGTGAGCTGGGGGCTCTGTGTGCTGACCTGGGGGCTGTTTGGTGACCTGGGGGCTCTGTGTGCTGACCTGGGGACTGTTTGGTGACCTGGGGGCTCTGTGTGCTGACCTGGGGGCTCTGTGTGCTGACCTGGAGACTGTTTGGTGGCCTGGGGGCTCTGTGTGCTGACCTGGAGACTGTTTGGTGGCCTGGGGGCTCTGTGTGCTGACCTGGAGACTGTTTGGTGGCCTGGGGGCTCTGTGTGCTGACCTGGAGACTGTTTGGTGACCTGGGGGCTCTGTGTGCTGACCTGGGGACGGTGCATGGTGACCTGGAGGACCATGGTGTGAGGTGCCTCCCAGCGGGACTGACAGAGATGAACCCATAACCATGCAGCACCTGGCCCCATGCATACCCTTCATATAGACTAAGGCTGTGTGGTGCTAAGTGTGTTAATAAATCACTATATAAATGTGTGTGTGTGGCAGGATCTGAGGAGGAGCGCGGCCTCCTCAAGTGGAACGCTCATCTCCTCGACCCGGCCATGGAGGAGGAGAAGACGTCTGCTCGCTCCAGGTGCTATGATCTCCCCGTCGGTATGGACACCATCAGGAGGTAAGACCTGGCCTGTGGTAGGGGTCCTGTGGCGGGGCGGGGTGAAGATGGCACCACCGGACACTACTTGGTCCGCTGAGGGAAGGTGAGAGAACACGAGGGAGGGAGGGAGGGGGAGAGGGAACGGGAGGAAGAGAGGGAGGGAGGGAGGAAGGCAGAGGGAGGGAGGGAGAGAGGCATAAAGAGGGAGGGGAGGGAAGGAGGGAGGGAGAGAGAGAGGCAGAGGGAACAAGAGGAACAACGGGTTCAAGCTCAACATGCCACAATGTTGGACTGAGAACAAAAAATGCTTTTTCACCCACAGGGTTATTAACCCATGGAACCGCCTACCCGCCCAAGCCGTAAATGGTAAAACATTCCTAACCTTGTCGAGGACTCTTGATAGGGATTCCCTCTGGTATATTCACGTAAAACCGAAAACAGTGGTACACCTCAGTGCATATTTTGTTATTTATATGTCCAAGAGTTCTTACATTCATGTACAGCCACTAGCACTCATAAGGGCAGGTCCTTAGTCTTATGTTCCCTGGAACACGACCCGCCAAATCGTTTAACAACAAGGTACCCATTCACTGCTGGATGAACAGAGGCGTACATTTAAGGATTGGCGCCCAGTCAATCCTCCCCGACCAGGATATGAACCCTGGCCAGAGCGTTCGTGAAGCAGCGGGGCGAGTGTCGTACCAGTGTGCTACACAGCAGTGTAGCGCCGCACCAAATTAAAAAACACCAACAGCATTCATTAACAGGTGTCACAGACCACTTGATCACTGTTGTAAATCAGACACCTGGAACTCGTGGGAGGATGGAGGCGTGTCCAAGATGCAGCACACATTGTCCCTCTCAACCGCCACATTCAAGCGCTGCAGTAAGAAACTTATTGCTCTTTGCTTGTGGGAAAGTTCACTCTAACATATAATATTATTCAAAATTTTATGAGGACCATAAAAGATGTTATAGGCTCAGAGACTAGTGATCTATGGATCTTAATTAATAAAATTAATAATTGATTCAAAATGAATCTGGAGAAGTGGACTGTAAAACTTCTAATTAAGGTAGAGCAATTCCCCGACACATCCTTTGGGGAAGTAAATTCTATTTTTTTTTTTTTTTTTTTTTTTTTTTTTGAGATACATACAAGAGTTGTTACATTCTTGTACAGCCACTAGTACGCGTAGCGTTTCGGGCAGGTCCCTGGAATACGATTCCCTGCCGCGAAGAATCGTTGTTACAACAAAGTACACATTTTACTGTTTCGTTAAACACAGGCTACATTTAAGGAATTGCGCCCAGTAAATCCTCCCCGGCCAGGATACGAACCCATGACAGCGCTCGCGGAACATTACGTTAATGACCTTCCAAATGCCTCCCAACACCTAAAACCAATTCTATTTGCTGACAACACAACCTTCATTGACTCCAGTCCTGACCCCCTTGCTCTAAATTTCATAGTGATTACTGAGCTAAATAAAGTCCATCTCTGCCTAACTGCCAACAAACTCACCCTCAATATTGACAAAACTTTCTATATTCTGTTTGGCAATAAATCCTCAAATCAAATAAATCTCAAAATAAACAATACCCAAATTTGTAACAAATTAGATGGCAAATTCCTTGGCGTTCTCATTGATAACAAGCTGAATTTCCAGGGACACATTCTAAATATATCAAAAAAAGTTTCAAAAACTGTTGGCATTCTTTCTAAGATCAGATATTATGTACCTCGCCCTGCCCTGGTGACGCTCTATTACTCTCTCATCTATCCTTATCTCAACTATGGTATTTGTGCTTGGGGTTCTACTACCTAAAATCATTTACGTCCTCTAATTACTCAACACAAAGCTGCTATTTGGACAATATCTAACTCTGGCCCCAGACATCACTCGGTACCCCTACTCAAATCTCTGAATATGTTAGACATTAAGTCACTTCACATTCCCTCATGTGTATTTTATATATATAAAACGCTGAACTGTAATGTCAATCCTGACCTTAAAAGCTTCCTAGAAGGTTGTAACAGATCCCATGAGCACCACACCAGAAATAAATACAGTTTTGATATTCCAAGAGTACGACTTAATCAAACTAGAAATGCTCTACAAATCAAGGGACCCAGAATGTGGAATGACCTTCCCAACCATGTTAAAGACTGTACCTCTCTCAACCAGTTTAAGATAAAAACTAAGTACCACCTAATTAACTCAATGTAATCTACCTTACCCCTAAAATGTCATCCCATGTCTACTATTTTAAACAATGCTGTTTGTCGACCAAATTGTATATTTGTTTTTTTTTCTGCCATGTTCCCCCCTTTTTTTATTGTTTATATTTTCTTAACAAAATTTATACTTTAATCTCAATTAGTATTACGTTTAAGTCTTAATGTTTTTCCTGCCCGAAACGCTTTGCGTAATAGTGGCTTTAGGCATTGTATGTACTAGCTCTGTCTATAAATCCATCAATGTTTGTATCTCACCTTGTATGTATGTACTTTACCTGAATAAATATTTAATTTGATTTGATTTGAAATATTCGTGGTAGAAATTTAGTTCATTGCTTTGTTTACTGGATCAGCTGATCACAGCTGAATAAAACTATTTCCAATAAACAGCTATATAATGCGGTAATTTAAATAAATCTATTGCCAATCAATATTCCTTGGTAAATAATATAAGGTTAGACTGGGTTTAATTCGATTAATAAATATGTGGAATTTATTCTCCCCGGCTGGGTAGCTGATGCAATCACGGCCATGATTCTAGGAGGAATCTGGCGTTTCTACGCCTTAGTTAATGAAATTTGATATTGTTACACTACTACATGGTTAGTAGTATTAGTAAACTATTATTCCTAGTACAATAAATACTACTCATCGCACTAAGGGTTAGTATTTGGGTGTTGAAAATTTCCAACATTGGTCCTTTGTGCCACTGATCAGTTTGTTTCCCAGTTCCTTCAGAAACATCAACAATACAATACAATACAATTTTATTTAGGTAAGGTACATACATACAATAAATATTTACAAGGATTGTTTGACTTATAGGTATAGCTAGTACATACAATGCCTAAAGCCACTATTACGCAAAGCGTTTCGGGCATGATAAACTTAAATGACAAGCTTAATACTAATTGAGCATAATGAGTAGAATGAAAACAAGAAATGAAAACATAGATGAAAAAGCAGCACAAATAATATTATGTCGACAAACAGCGCTCTTTAAAGAAAAAAACAGACATTGGTTGACAATAGAAGGGTAAGGTAGGTTACAGGGAATTTATTAGGTATAGCTTCGCTTTTAACTTAAACTGGTTGAGAGAGGTACAGTCTTTAACATGGTTGGGAAGGTCATTCCACATTCTGGGCCCCTTGATTTGTAGAGCATTTCTAGTTTGATTAAGTCGTACTCTAGGAATATCAAAACTGTATTTATTTCTATTTATTTATTTCTATGGGTATTTATCAATACCCATTTGCGCCACGAAGCAAAGGTTTCTGAGCCAGACGAAACAATGTTGTAACAGCGTGCCAAGCCTCTGTATTTCATGGTCTCCTGCATTTCTCTAAATGGGCCAGTAGGCCTAGCACAGTGTTTCTGTCTTCCAACGTTTTTCTTCGAAAATGCTTCAATATATTTGTTTAACTGTTTAAATCAATATTAAGAATTGTCATAATCCTCCAGCGTAGGCCTGCGGCATATATCTGTGATCTGCCACACCCAGTCTGTGTCCCGCTCACATTGTTCTTCCCTTGCAGGTGGTCGTGGTGCAGGTACATCCCCGTCTCACCCACCTTCGTCGGCTTCGTACGCAAGCGGGTGTGACGTAGTACATCCAATATGGCGCTGTACATGTACAGAAAATACATAACAATTATATGTAGATATATTACCTTAATAACAGGACGCTTGGTGTTTAATGTGACAATGTGCAAGACTGTGATGATTAACCTGACAATGTGCAAGAGTCTTTGATCATTAACCTGACAATGTGCAAGATTCTCCTATGAATAAGTTAGCAATGTTCAAAATTTTATAATGATTTATCTGACACTGTGCAAGATCCTGTCATGACATGGGAATGGAACCTGCTGGAATGTTGGCTGATAAATTCAATCATAGGAAGTCAAAGGTGGGCAGCCGGTCCTCAAAGGTGGGCAGCCGGTCCTCAAAGGTGGGCAGCCGGTCCTCAAAGGTGGGCGATCGGTCCTCAAAGGTGGGCAGCCGGTCCTCAAAGGTGGGCAGCCGGTCCTCAAAGGTGGGCAGCCGGTCCTCAAAGGTGGGCGATCGGTCCTCAAAGGTGGGCAGCCGGTCCTCAAAGGTGGGCAGCCGGTCCTCAAAGGTGGGCAGCCGTTCCTTATGGAAGTTAGGAACTGGGCCAGATTCACAAAGCAGTGGCCCTTGGACCGCCTCGGTCCTTGTATTAAATATAAGAGAAATATATAATTGAAGCATGCAAATGAAGACAGTAAATCATTAATATCTAATTTATTGAATTAAAGTTAATTTAAAAATAATACAATACAAAATTAATATAATGAAACTAGGACAATTTACGGTACGTTGAATTGCTCAGTTTCCCTAGTGACTAAGGTGGGCAAGCCGCCGTGGAGGACAAGTACAGATCGGCATTTCAAGATGGCTGCCGCTGAGCTGAAATCATCTGGAGTAAATGGTTCCACAGAGATTGTACAGAACTGACACTGATTTAGAATAATTGTTTGGTGCATAATTTATTCCTATAGAAAATTGGAAATACAGACGTTAGTATTTGTAACAGCCTAACGCGCAGCTCTTTTTTTTTCTAGTGTTCAAATTAGAAAAATGGTCTAGAATCGTCGGACCGGCGGGAATTGCTTTACAATAGACCGTTGGTCCCTGATTTGGTCCTGTCTAGAAAGAAAAGGACCGACTTTTCCCGGTTACGGTCCTAATAAAAGTAGGTGAGACATAGTTGTATGTATATATATGTTTATGTATTTATATATTTATGTATATATATACATACATATATATAACTGTAGCAATGCGATAAAATAAAACAAAAGTAATAAAAATGAATAGGGGTGGTAGGAGAAGAAAAGATTAAAGTGTTCAATGAGAATCCACAAGGTCTTCTCTGAATACTCTTTATTTTCTTCTTCGAGGCTGTAGGTCCCTTCAATTGCACCAGAGGTGATACCCCAATAATATATATATTATATGTATATATATAATATATGTATATATTTATATATGTATATATATATATATATATATATATATATATATATATATATATATATATATATATATATATATATATATATATATATATATATATATATATATATATATATATATATATGCAATTGACGATCACAAAACACTGACCATTTTATGTGGAAAATCCACAGAGAAATATGAAATGAGGTGAACGTTTCGGCTTGTTAAAGCCTTTGACAAGTCTTTGATATGTCATACTGTTAAAGTCAGTCTGGTGTTGACAAAGGCTTTAACAAGCCGAAACGTTCACCTCATTTCATATTTCTCTGTGGATTTTCTGCATATATATATATATATATATATATATATATATATATATATATATATATATATATATATATATATATATATATATATATATATATATATATATATATATATATAGAAGGGGTACCACCTCGTGTGCAAGTGTAGGAACCCACAGCCTCGAAGAAGAAAATAAAGAGTATTCAGAGAAGACCTTGTGGATTCTCACTGAACACTTTAATATTTTCTTCTCCTACCACCCCTATTCTTTTGGTATGTATATATATATATATATATATATATATATATATATATATATATATATATATATATATATATATATATATATATATATATATATATATGTCGTACCTAGTAGCCAGAACGCACTTCTCAGCCTACTATGCAAGGCCCAATTTGCCTAATAAGCCAAGTTTTCACGAATTAATTGTTTTTCGACAACCTAACCTACCTAACCTAACCTAACTTTTTCGGCTACCTAACCTAACCTAACCTATAAAGATAGGTTAGGTTAGGTTAGGTAGGGTTGGTTAGGTTCGGTCATATATCTACGTTAATTTTAACTCCAATAAAAAAAATTACCTCATACATAATGAAATGGGTAACTTTATCATTTCATAAGAAAAAAAATTCGAGAAAATATATTAATTCAGGAAAACTTGGCTTATTAGGCAAATCGGGCCTTGCATAGTAGGCTGAGAAGTGCGTTCTGGCTACTAGGTACGACATATATATATATATATATATATATATAACCTAATATATAAATAACATATTGTAACTTTTTTTGTGTAATGACATTTTCAAATAAAGTTAAATAAGTAAAATATATATATATATATATATATATATATATATATATATATATATATATATATATATATATATATATATATATATATTATACATTATGTGTGTGTATGTGTAAGCTGGGAAGAATTCCATTTCACCTTTGTAAACGCACATTAATGACACCTCGAACACTGTGTGTAGGACGCGTTAATATGTGTGTTTATGTTTGAAGGTTAGCTTAGCATTTTTTAAATTTTAGGAATGATTTAGAGATGGGGATTACCAAACAACGTGACAAAACACTTGTTAGTATTATCCCATATGTATGACAAATCCGAGAATTCTGACTATACAAAGCTGGATAAAAGTATTACCCGGATTTTAATGTTATTGAAAGCTGATCACTGAGCGCCACCAACACTACGGCTTGGCCAGGCACGACCCAGGGTGTGCAGGAGCTGATCACTGAGCACCACCACCACTACGGCTTGGCCAGGCACGACCCAGGGTGTGCAGGAGCTGATCACTGAGCGCCACCAACACTACGGCTTGGCCAGGCACGACCCAGGGTGTGCAGGAGCTGATCACTGAGCACCACCACCACTACGGCTTGGCCAGGCACGACCCAGGGTGTGCAGGAGCTGATCACTGAGCATCACCACCACTACGGCTTGGCCTGGCACGGCCCGGGGTGTGCAGGAGCTGATCACTGAGCGCCACCAACACTACGGCTTGGCCAGGCACGGCCCGGGGTGTGCAGGAGCTGATCACTGAGCATCACCACCACTACGGCTTGGCCAGGCACGGCCCGGGGTGTGCAGGAGCTGATCACTGAACATCACCACCACTACGGCTTGGCCAGGCACGGCCCGGGGTGTGCAGGAGCTGATCACTGAGCACCACCAACACTACGGCTTGGCCAGGCACGGCCCGGGGTGTCCAGGAGCTGATCACTGAGCATCACCACCACTACGGCTTGGCCAGGCACGACCCGGGGTGTGCAGGAGCTGATCACTGAGCGCAATCAACACTACGGCTTGGCCAGGCACGACCCGGGGTGTGCAGGAGCTGATCACTGAGCACCACCAACACTACGGCTTGGCCTGGCACGGCCCGGGGTGTGCAGGAGCTGATCACTGAGCGCAACCAACACTACGGCTTGGCCTGGCACGGCCCGGGGTGTGCAGGAGCTGATCACTGAGCATCACCACCACTACGGCTTGGCCAGGCACGACCCGGGGTGTGCAGGAGCTGATCACTGAGCACCACCAACACTACGGCTTGGCCTGGCACGGCCCGGGGTGTGCAGGAGCTGATCACTGAGCGCAACCAACACTACGGCTTGGCCTGGCACGGCCCGGGGTGTGCAGGAGCTGATCACTGAGCACCACCAACACTACGGCTTGGCCTGGCACGGCCCGGGGTGTGCAGGAGCTGATCACTGAGCACCACCAACACTACGGCTTGGCCTGGCACGGCCCGGGGTGTGCAGGAGCTGATCACTGAGCGCAACCAACACTACGGCTTGGCCAGGCACGACCCGGGGTGTGCAGGAGCTGATCACTGAGCACCACCAACACTACGGCTTGGCCTGGCACGGCCCGGGGTGTGCAGGAGCTGATCACTGAGCGCAACCAACACTACGGCTTGGCCTGGCACGGCCCGGGGTGTGCAGGAGCTGATCACTGAGCATCACCACCACTACGGCTTGGCCAGGCACGACCCGGGGTGTGCAGGAGCTGATCACTGAGCACCACCAACACTACGGCTTGGCCTGGCACGGCCCGGGGTGTGCAGGAACCATGGAGGCAGGATGGGATATAATTATACTGTGAAGACCAAGGTGTTATGACCATCATACTCGCACACTATAGACCCTCCCGGAGCGATATACGGGTCAACCATGTCAGTTGTAATTGATGAGTTGACATGCTTAGGGGTGCCTTCTCGCCATGCTCTGTGGCTGGGGGGATTGGTGCCCTGAAGCTACATGAACACCCTATACCCCCCCTAAGTGCGAAGGGGAGTTAGGGACAACATCACAATATTTACGTATATGCTATGTTATAACCTGGTACAACGCTACAAATTAGAAAAGAGGCACTATAATGTAATAGTTTCTGCTACAGTTCCTGTATTACATTTAGAAGTTTAAGGTAGCGACAGTTGAGTATGGTAGTCTGTGTGTGTGTCAGGGGATCATTGCGACATCTTGCTCTACTGATATCTGAAATTTGTGAAGGAAATTTAATTATATATTTTGCTATTGATATTGTGGGACTCAAACTGGAGCCCAAAATAAGCAATAACACGATTCAGGACTTGATTCATTCCTCCAGGATTTGTAACGGAACAAATGTGTAAAACAAATCACATATTTTGCGTTCCCGTCTTAATACTTTATTGATACACAAGATTGAGAAAGTGAATTGTGGCACAAATTGCTTCTTTCCCAAATTCCAGGTATTATCAGTTCTGTCTGGTTGTTACTGCCATATTTACACGTATATACACATTCATGCATATTGCAAGCCACAATAGTGTGGGAATAACATTCCATTACTGTGGCATGTCGGGAGGGGAACTTAAGAGCGCCACAGTGCCTATTATTAAACAAGTATAAGGAGAGGGAGAGCGGGAATGGCGGCCTAGGCTCCCGTGCTAGGCTTCACACCCACCACCAATATTCCCTCCCTCTGGTACATGTCACAACAACAACAACAACAAGCCATAATAGTGTAGGAATACCATTTGAGCCCTAATTCAGGCTGGCCCAAGTCACTTGACCGTATATTGTACACAATAGTATACGGTAAAGTAACTTTTGGCCAGAAGGTAAACTCCATCGGGCGTGTGGGAGAGGCGACTGTGCCTGTGTGAACTTAGTATTTGCTACTCTGTATATATCTTGTAGACCGTTGACGGAATGTTGTGTTTAGAGATCATGTAAAACTCATGTGTTTAATAAGTGAACAGAGCAATAGGTCATATATCAGTAGCCTCCTGCGGTACTTCTCCGTCTGTTAACTTCTCTACCAAAACCTCAGTAATTGATATTGTTAATTTTGTAGTTGAATGGTCGTCTTATTCCATGTTTTAAACAACATTGTTTGAAGTGAAATGTTTATTTTCCTAAGTGTTTCTGCTAAATACTCTTAACCCGTATCATTATTTTCAAAACATATTTATTTACACAAACAAAACTTAACAAAACCTTTATTATAAAGATGAAAAGCCAGTCAAACACATTTGGGGAAAATAATGAAGGTTTGTACATGAAAAATGACCTTAAATCTCCGTATGGTTACGTGTCCAACATGAACTTAATTGATGAATATTGCACAGTATACTAATTAGTATATAATTTTAAATAATATACTCTATATAATATATATATATGTATATATATATATATATATATATATATATATATATATATATATATGTATATATATATATATTTATATATATATACATATATATATATATATATATATATATATATATATATATATATATATATACACAAAATAAAGTATATAATATACTGTATCCAACTATAATTAGTTCCTAACCCCCTTATGTGCTTCTGCAACCTTCTTCACTCCGCCCACAGGCTGGGTATGGGGTCCACTGCCG